CGGGATCAGTGGAAGGGTGAAAGTATTGCAGACTTCATCGCTGACCTTAGAAACCTGGGAGGCCTCTGTGATTTTTCAGACCTAGAAGAAGCTATGCGAGACCGCATAGTTCTGGGATTAGATGACCACACAGTACAGAGCAAGATCATGGCAAAGAGGAACATCGGTCTTGCAGATGCCATTGCAGACGCTACTGCAGCAGAGGCAACCAAGATGTTGGCCGCTCGAATGCGCCGCACCAACGCACCGCTCCGTCAATTCGCCCGTGAAGCCTCGCCTCAACTAGAAAGACACTCAGCAACAGCGCACCATGAGGACCTTGAGTCCCAGTCCGAGAGTGATGAAGAAGAGGTTAACAGACTTTGAGCCGAACGAGATCAACAAACTCTAAAATTTCAGCGCCCATGTGCGGGTTGTGGGGAAAATCACCCGCGATCCGGTTGCAAATTCCTCGATGCAATCTGCTGTTCCTGTGGGAAGAGAGGCCATATCGCACGGGTCTGCAGAAGTAAGAGGGAATCCAACACAAACAGAAAGGAGAACAACTTCCGCCAAACCACAGGGAACCTCCCTGCAAATCGGGATCGTTTGAATAACCAATGGAACAACCATGCCTACAGCAGCAAAACATCTGCTCTTCCAGCAAGATGAGAAGAGGCACACCAGACTATTATTATCGGCCACGCTTCATCATTAGACAAACAAAAGATCCGAGTGAAAGTTACCATCGAGAACCAACCTTGCCTGATGGAAGTCGACTCTGGGTCGTCCCTCTCGATGGTTTCCTGGAAGACCCTTAAACAGCTGATCCCTGCCATCCGTCATCAAGACCTCAGGACACAGAAAATCATCCTCAGAGACTACCAAGGGAACATGATCCCAGTCGTCGGAGAGAGTCAAGTCCAAGTATCTTTTAAAAATCGTGCCATGTCACTCCCATTAACTGTCGTCGATGGTGACCGGCCCAGTTTACTAGGCCTACAATGGTTCGGCCCACTCGGGATCGAGGTGGCCGGCATTCACCGGGCCGGAAGCGATGATTGGGAAGAGAGCATCGTCCAGGAATTCCACGACGTGTTTTCGGACAACTTAGGCAAGTACAAGGGGACCCCTATATCCTTTAGCCTCAATCCAGAAGTAGCCCCTATCCGCCTTAAGCCTCGTCGGGTGCCGTTCGCCCTTAAACCCAAGATTGACGAGCAACTTGATAAGTTAATAGCCCAAGGGGTGTTGGAGCCTATTGACCATGCCCGTTGGGAAACCCCAATCGTAACCCCCATCAAACCGGGTGGGTCGATTAGAATTTGTGGAGACTACCGCGCCACCCTGAACCACGCAGTCCAACAGAGCGCTTATCCGGTGCCGGTGGTTCAACATCTTCTCCACTCCCTGGGCGGCGGGAAGATCTTCGCAAAGTTGGACTTAGCGCAAGCGTATCAACAACTACCCATTGATGCGGAAACCATTACACACCGAGGTGCCTTTAAATGCAACAGACTCCAGTTCGGAGTCAGTGTAGCCCCCGGGATATTTCAGAGTCTAATGGAGAGACTTTTACAGGGAATAAAAGGGGTTGTACCGTACTTCGATGATGTTTTAATTGCTGCCCCAAATAGAGAAGAGCTTGAAAGGCGTCTCAGATTGGTTTTACATAGATTTAAGAACACCGGTCTCAAGGTTAAAAAAAAAATGTCAACTGTGCACTGAAAGGGTAGAGTTTCTCGGATACCTCCTCGATAAACAAGGTATTCACCCTACCGAAAACAAACTCAGGGCAATCAAGAACGCCCCAAGACCTAAAAATAAGACTGATCTCCAGGCTTTCCTGGGACTTATTAACTTTTACAACATCTTCTTGTCCCAGAAGGCGACCGTAGCTGAGCCCCTACATAGACTTCTCGACAAGAAAGCCACCTGGGTCTGGGGACATCGAGAAGAACGCTCTTTTCAAAAAGTGAAAGACTTATTAACATCCGATGCTGTTCTAATGCAGTACAATGAGACTTTGCCATTAAATATTACGTGTGACACATCACCATTTGGGGTTGGAGCCATTTTGAGCCACGTGTTACCAAACGGGAATGAGGCTCCCATTGCGTACTTTTCCCGCACATTATCAAAGGCTGAACGAAACTATAGCCAACTTGACAAAGAGGCTCTTGCTATTGTATCGGCCGTGAAGCGATTTCATGAATATGTTTACAGGCGGCCTTTTACTCTAGTTACAGACCACAAGCCTTTACTTGGCATTTTAGCAGGTGATAAACCAATGCCGCATATATTGTCGCCTAGAATGACTCGCTGGTCAGAATTCCTAGCAGCCTACAACTACGTACTGCAGCATCGCCCGGGGAAAGCCATTCCCCACGCTGACGCTTTGAGCCATTCCCCACTTCCGGAAACCGTCAGCGACCCAGCTCCAACCCTCACTACGCTGCAAATTGAAACTCTCAACTCGCCGCCACTAACGGCAAGGGATATCGCCGCCAACACAAAACGGGACTCTATCCTCGCAAGAGTTCTCAGTTGGGTCGAACGTGGGTGGCCAGTCGAAGAAACCCCCGCCACTTTTGCGTCATTCAAACACCGGCAAACGGAACTATTTTCCCTGCATTCTATGGGGAGATAGAGTCGTCGTGCCAGAGAGACTACAGCGACTCGTGTTGCAAACCCTGCAGGAAGGACATCCGGGCATCATCCGCATGAAGGCTCTCGCTCGAAGCTACGCCTGGTGGCCAGGCATCGATAAACAAATTGAAGCCTGGGTAACCACGTGTAGAAACTGCCAAGAGGTCAGCAACGCCCCACCGAGAGCAATTCCCACCGAATGGGAAACTCCTCGAGGCCCGTGGTCCCGCATCCACATTGATTTCGCGGGACCCACTAAAGGACACACCTTCCTTCTAACCGTGGATGCTTACTCCAACTGGCTCAAAATCCACAAGATGAAAAGCACGACTACTGACTCCGTTATTAAAAAACTAGATAGATTATTTGCAACACATGGTTTCCCGGACGTTCTAGTTTCCGACAACGGACCCCAGTTCACGGCCCTCACCTTCAAACAATACCTGGCGGACCGGGGCATCCGCCATGCCTTAACTTCGCCGGCTCACCCTGCGGCAAACGGTAGGGCGGAACGGATGGTCCAATTCGTTAAAAAGACACTACAAAAAATGGATCCTGGGGACATCGACACTAGATTGAACAAAATACTCTTACTACAGCACATTACCCCCCACAGTGTCACCAACAAGACTCCAGCCGAACTTTTAATGGGGCGGAAGCTTAGCTCCCACCTCAACCGATTACACCCGTCTTATTCGCCAGAGAAACCTTGTGGATCCAGCGGAACATATCGCCAATTCAAGGTAGGCGACTTGGTCTATGCCAAAAATATTTCCGGCGAACCGTTGTGGGTCCCAGCCACCGTAGTCTACCTCACTGGCCCTAGATCTTACCGCCTTAAAACGACAGACGGCAAGATATGGAAACGCCACATAGATCAACTTCGATTTCGTTTACAACCCAATATCCACGACCCCCCGGACTTCCAAACTCAAGGGGGAGGGAATACCGAGAGGGACGAAGGCCGTATAGACGATGACGTAATCGAGGACAGACGGCCGCTAAACCGAATACTCGTGCCACCTGAAGAAGGTCCGGGATCGGGGGCATCCTCCCCGCAGAGGAACACCGTAGTGGTAACATGCCCGCCCAATCCAGGAGTGGACTTAAGGAACCCTGATAGTATCGAAAACAGCACCGCAGAATCAACCCCGTGCGAAGACGAGCCTTGCGTTCCACCGGAACCGAACTGTAAACAAAAACCGGTGGAACAGCGAAAATCAAATAGGCAGGTAAAATGACCTGCATACCTGCGTGATTACGTCACCACGGCCGTCAAACAGAACCCAGGGGGGAGGGGTGTTGTGAACTAAAGAAATGTATTTAATAAAGATTCATTTGCATGGCAGGATCGTAATCCTGCACTTCCTATTGGCCCATATAATAGCAAGTTATGATTGGTTCATCTCGAGCAATCTGATTGGCTGTTGGCGGGCCGTGCCAAGATTCAAACGCTATAACACTATCCATTGGTTATCCGGATAGCAGCTTACTCTATAAAAGAGTGACTGCTAGCCGGGGGTTTTTTGTCTCTGTTATGCTTGTGAATAAAGAGCTGAAGTTCACGGTTTACAGTCTGGTCTCCGTTCATTAAACCCATGCCTCAAACTTAACACTTACAATTATGAGTTAATGTTTCATCCTAAAGAATTAAATAGCAAGTCACCATAACTAAGTTTTTCCCCTTGAAATTCTATTTAATCATGTTTCTTTTTTTATTTCTTATGTAATCAAGTTTTTTTTTTCCCCCAATAGTTTTTCTTCATTACTTCCAATATTTGTATCCTGGAACAAGAATGAGAGAAATGAGGAAGCCTTATTTTTTAGAATAAATCACAGCCTGTCAGCACTATGGGAAAATATATATATTAAATCACACACTCACAAGTACACAGAAAGGCTTTTTGAGATTAAATTGTTGCAAACACAAATACCAGTGAAATGGAATTGAGTTATAACATGGATTTTATAATGTAGGGCAAAACTGAAGTGCAATTTTTCATTATTTTACATGCCTTGGCTATAAATATGGCCTATATTTGAAGCCGTGCCTTTGGGGTTTTCACTTTGAATGACTTCTGTTCCTTCAACAGGATATCCTTTATTTGTCTCCATGAATATTATGATGACCAAAGCTTTTTTGCATGCTGTGTTTTTTTGATGGGTGGGTCAACAGCTGCTCCCAGAAGAGGAAAGGTAACTATAGCAACAAATGTTATCTGCATCCTCATGTATTTCCTTGTGCCCAACCTAATTCATACTCCTTCTACTAAGACTACCAACTAGTTGGAAAGAGAAAAACATTCCAGCCTCTTGGATCACATTCTCTTCTTTTGTAAATGCTGCTCAGTTAACACCGAGAATATTAGAACTTAGGTAGATCTAAGAGATGCTAGAGATGTATTACCTTGGCTCCAAATTCCTGCTCTCTCTCCTGGGTTTCACTGTGAATTGCAGCCTTTTCTTAGAAGCAACAGTTTCTCCCTCTTCAGGGCCCCGAGTCAAATCCAGCTATACTTTTGGTCGGACCTTTTTGGGACTTGATAAGTGCAATGCCTGCATTGGAACATCAATTTGCAAGAAATTCTTTAAAGAAGAAATAAGGTCAGAATCTCCATACCATATTTGGGGTGGGATGAAGGGAAAATGGGATTTACTTCTTTGGAGGAGGAAAAAAAAACCCTCAAATATATAAATTTGTCATTATGTAATCTGGCACACATTTATTTGCTAGCAACACTTTACAGAAATGATTAATAAATCCCTAAACCATTTAAAGATGCAAGAATCCATTTTTGCCCTAGAAAGATCTTGTATCAATATTGTTTATATAATAAGTTCCTTATAATTAGCAAGATTTAACCTTAACAATTGTACCATAAAATATAAGTATGCCTTAAGTTTTGACAGTATGCCTTAAGTTTTGACACTAGTTTGCTGTTTGCTTTACATTTCAAACATTTTGGCTAAGGAAATGACATGGGAAAGATTGCTATCATCATCGTGTCCAATTAATTTCATGCACATAGTTAACTCTTTCAAAATTAAATCAATTTATTTTATTTTATTTATTTGATTAATATCTATGTTTATGTTACTAGTTTTATGAACTCTGGAAGCAGCTCCAGCTAGGTGGTTGTTGTTTGTCTAAATATAGTGAAAAGTTAAAAAAAAAAAAATTAGGCTTCCAATATCTAGCCAAGAGCTACAGATGATAAATTAATTCCAGACTCAAATGGTCCCTCAAATAAATAGGTTTTGTTATCACTTCTAAAATTAACAACAGACTGGCTTGATGTGGTTCTAAAGACAAATGCTGCGCTCTGCAGCAAAGAAGGCCTGAGATTTTTGGCTCATTGCTGAACTGCTCTGTAATCGTGATACCAAGATAAACTATATGTGATCATCTTAAGTTCAAGAAAACACAGTGGATGTGAGAAGATAACATATTTTCACCAGAGGGACTTACTCCCTGGAAGTACATGAAAATTCAATTTTAGTGCTCCTGAAGTTGGAATAAGCATTTTTGAGACTATTATAGTTGGGCTTTCATCAAATCAATGTGTGCTTAGTTCAAATCATTTTGAATTAAATAAAATATGAATCAGACTCAAGTATTTTTTTTTATCATACTTAAGCTATGCTACAAGAGCATGGCAATTTAAGCCAATATATTTTTCTTATTTGCAGAAATTATTAGTGCTCTTGTCATGATTTGTTCAATTTCAGGTTTTCTAAGAGAAAACAAATATGATAGCAGTGTGAGAGAGTTCTGAGAGAAATGCTCATTCTTTTCCAATGATTTATATAATTTTAAATGCTATAAAACAATTGGTAGCACAGTAGACAGAAATTGTGCTAGTAAACTACAGTATAATTTTATCCGATGCTTATTGCTACTGAATCAGATAGATAAGTTGACTTCTTTTCTCTCTGCTCTCATATTGAAGGTACTATAATATAATCATGACAGCCTTGGTAAAACCTAGTACATATATTTTTAGCTATTTGGGTATTTATATATTTAAATCCCCAGCACAGACACACATGATTGGACCTACAGATTGCAAGCAATAGCAATAGCACTTAGACTTATATACCGCTTCATAGTGCTTTACAGCCCTCTAAGTGGTTTCCAGAGTCAACATATTGCCCCCAACACTCTGGGTCCTCATTTTACCCACTTTGGAAGGATGGAAAGCTGAGTCAACCTGAGCCTGGTGGGATTTGACCTGCCAAATTGCAGGCAGCCAATAATCAACAGAAGTGGCCTGCAGTACAGCACTCTAACCATTGCTCCACCAAGGCTCTTAGGAATCCTATGGATATCTTGTATATCTTTGTATTTTTTAAACTTTTGGAAATTCTCTGAATGGTCTGAGGGATTGGTGAATCTTTCCCTCCTCCTGCTATTCAATATGAATGTTCAATGTGTGATTGGAGACAAACTGGCCTCACGTTATGTTTAAAATGCTCTGAGATGTGTGTGTGTGTGTGTGCACGCACATGCACGCATACACACACATGCATGCACACAAAAGCCACTTGTAATATTACTTTCAGGTTCTAAATACTCTGTAGCAATTGAGTCAGCCTTTGGGATGAGTTAAAACTTAATTCATAAAGCCTTACAAAAATGCTATTACCACTTGGCAACAACCATATTTCAGTTTTACTTTATGGTTACAAATTCTAGCAACACTGACTACTGTATAGGGGTATGAACTATATTAGGGTACCGAGGGTAATCAAGGCAAATAAGCTTCCTTCAAATAAGGATGCACCTCAAAAGTTCCCCTGAATTTGTGAAATGATACTAGATTTGTATGATCAATGCTAATAAATTCAGCAAGAGAGTGAAGATAAAAAGGATACTCTAAAAGCATTTTTGTCCTTAATCTCCAGGAATATTGGGGTTAGCTATTAAATTTCCAAGAAATTCAGCATGGTGGAAAGTGCAAAGCAGAGTATTTTTAAAAAAAAGATACTCTGCTTTGCTGCATTGTTCAAAACTACACTGGGTCTTTAGCTGATCTTCAATGAGATGTGGTGTATGCTTCTTTCATTTCAATTTATGGAAACTGATGTCAAGCATATAGCTAAACAAATAAAAATATTAAGTGTATGAGAATTTTTCACGGAAGTAACTGTATGTCTGGTTGCTAGGTTCAGCACTTTGGATCCTCCAAATATTTTGGACTTCAATTATTATGAGCCCTGAGTAACAAGAAGTACAACAACAATTGTAGACCACACTTGGAGGGCACTAGGTTGCTTCCTTTTGCCATACTGAAGAAGCAGAAATAGAAAGCATATTATTCAAAATTTCTGTGCTGGAATTGGACAAATTTTTTGTGATTGGTTTTTTTGTTATCTTCCAAGGATCAGCTTCCAAGGGACATAAGAAGAAATGGTGGCAGTGTGCTAATATTACTGGAGGAGCAATGTCAACTTGCTCTCACGCTTTTTAAAATCCCATTTAGGAATGGGTTTAAGCCAAATATTTTACCACTACTTATTTTAAAATAGTCATGAAGAATCACAGTTCTGGGGAACTTTAGGGACTGAAAAAAGGGAGCAGTAAGTCACATGATGCTGAGAGTTGTCTACAGGTAGTCCTCAACTTATGACTACAATTGAGGAAAATTTTCTGCTGCTGAGTTTTTGTTAACTGAGATTTGCTCTATTTGATGACCTTTCTTGCCACTGTTGTGAAGTGTATCACTGCAGTTTTTAAGTTAATAACTCGGTTTTTATGACTTTGCTTGACAGAAGATTGCAAAAGGTGATACAGGATCCTGGGATACTGCAACTGTCATAAAAAAAAGCCAGTTGCCAAACATCTGAATTTTGATCATGTGACCATTGGGATACTGCAATGGCCATAAGTGTGAAAAATGGAAATAAGTCACTTTTTTCAGTGCTGTTGTAACTTCAAATGATGACTAAGCAAATGGTTGCAGGTTGAAGACTACTTATACAATAAAGCTAATTGTGCAGTAACTTTGTAACTTTAAACAGTCACTAAATGAACTGTCGTAAGTTGAGGACTATTGTACCTATTTTTTAAACAGTGACAGTTAATTAGAAGTGAGTCACACCAATGCTACTTGAGTTGTAAGAAATATATATGTGCATAATGTCCTGGTTTATTTGTGTACAGTTTAATTCAGGTTTATTGGATTTGTGTAGTACATCAACATAATGTGTACAGTACATCAAGTCATAAACCATAGGATAGCAGTCAAAATGACAACAAACCATATTAAAACAAAACTTAAAGTACCTCTTTTGGGCTTCAAGTGAGATGAAGCCGGCCAGGGCCGCAGCTCTTTTTCTTTTATTGCTTGGCCTTATGGCTTTCTACATTTACTGAAAATAAAAGCGCTGTACAGAAAGTTAAGGATCTCCCTGGAATCTATTCTTTATCAATGATGTGCATAATTGCTGGGTTCACATGTAACAAACTTGCACGCAGAGCAGAATTTATTCTTGAGGTTTTACATATCTCTGAATACTGTGGTTTTACTCTTAAAGAGCATATTTAAAATCTTTTTATAAAGGATTTAGGAGAAAGTTAGGGAGTAAAGATTCAAATTAATAAGAATGAAAAGAATCATGGAAAAAATTGATAGCAAAATGACTCCATGTGGAAATGAGAGATTTGCTTACTTCTATTCAAAATATAAAACCTTTCTCTGAGGTTTTATGTATATGTAGTATTCTCAGGACCACTACTTGCTCTGTTATTTGCAAAAGCATTTCAAATAGAAGTGCATAGAGAGAAAGCTTCATATGAAAGAAAGTGACAGAATAATGAACTATATTCTAAACTATTTTTGCTGAGTTTCCACAAAACATTTTGAAGTATCAGTAACTTATACAACATGGTACTGGTATCCAGTTCCCTCCAGGTAAGGCCAGGGTCTCAGAACATTTTCAGTTGGCCCTAAAGAATTCCATGGTAAAAGATCTATTTGGACTTAATCTGCTTAGCCATTTATACTGAATACTAAATGCTAAACTGCAAAAAGTTTAGCAGATTGCAGTGAAAAATATTTGCAGATAAGCTTCCTTACAATCTTTATTGAGTTTATCCTCAAAGGAACTCTATTACATATACCTTTGGAACAGTGGTGGGATTCAAAAACACTTGCTACTTGTTGTGTGGGCATGGCTTGGTGGCCGTGGTGTGGCTTGGTGGGCGTGGCTTGGTGGGCATGGCAGGGGAAGGATACTGCAAAATCTCCATTCCCTCCCCACTCCTGGGGGAAGGTTATCACCAGTTCTCTGAAGACTCAAAATTTCCACTACCGGTTCTCCAGAATTGGTCAGAACCTGCTGAATACCCACCTCTGCTTTGGGATTCCTCTGTTATATATGATGAAATAAGGCCAAGGAGGATTTGGTAAATGAGAGAGCATTCAGTTCATGAGTCAACAGGGATTTTCAAGCTCAAGTCCAACATGAACTTCATAAAATCACATTGGCTTTTCGGTAGATGCTATTTAAAGTCTGAGGAATTCTCAGATTAAAAGTTGAAAGATAAAAATTACATATGCCAGATCTGATTGTATATATGTATATAAATGTTTTTTATTGTTAAGATGGTGAATTACAAAATGTCTACATTGAATTGTGATAATACAGTGAAGAAAAAAGAGCTAATTATATGAGGATGATTAAATAAATGTAGTAAGAGCAACAATGAAACATATATAATAAGTGCAAATACAGGATTATACAAGATTAATTCAAACATTAAGCTAAAATCTGAATCATATAGGATAACAAAGAGGCCTCTTACACATTTTTACAGCAAAGACTTTCAAACATAGACAACAGCCCATATCCTGGATCCACTGCATAAACTCAGAAACATGGCTTTCTTTTCTGTAATATCAGATTATCCTCTTTGTTGTGTCCAAAAGCCTGTAACTACATGATCTAGGCCAGGACATTTTTAGTTTCAGAACTGAACTTGAAAATTCTTGCACTACATAAAATACTGTCTGGCTACAACTACCTTGGGGAGACAGTGTTTTGATCTTGCTGTCATATAATTACACACATCACAAAGAGTAGGATTTATCTCTGAGTAAATGTACACAGGATTGTACTGTCAAAAATAGTAATTCATAAACATCACTTACAAATCCAGTGCTTTTGAAAGTCAAAGACTTTGAAGAGATTTCATTTTCTTTTACAGCTAGAGGGCAAAAACCCTTGCAGTTTTAAATAAATTTAGCATTAATGTATCAAATGATCAAATCATCTACTCTCAAAATATTCTACTGAAATTGTTTTCCAAGTGAACATTGTAGCCCAAGGCTTGAAAGTTCTTAAATCAATTTTGAAATATATTGCTTGGAATTATTAAGGCAGTCTTCAAAATCATATGCATCTTTCAATACACTTTAAAAACCAGTCAATTAAGTCAAATGAGTCATAAGTCATATCAATTTTAAGGTAGTTTTATTGTGCATTCATGATCATTTGGCCAAAGCTTCAGGTTTGAATGCTTACAATATATTTTATAATAAGAGAAAATTGCAATAGGTTCCCTTGATTTATTGGAAGCATTGCAACATTTAGGACATTTTTGTGAATGTCTGTCTGTTTTTAAGACTCCAGATGTCTTCTTCACTGATATTAATACTAGTTGCTCTTTATGATTCTTTGGACAGAATTTGATGACATCTCTATAAATAGCTCCTTCTGAATTACCAAAACAAGTTAGATGGCAGATAAGTAGCTGCAGGATGAAGAAAGTTTATTGAAAGAATTTTTACAAATTTATATTCTAGGAAGTAGGCCTTTGTTCCCAACAGCAACAACTAGGAGTTTTATTCACTAATATTGTTAGACCTATAAGTGTCCTTCCTCTGTTAAGTTATTTCCAACATTCTTTACAAAAGCGCTCTCTCTCTCTCTCTCTCTCTCTCACACACACACACACACACACACCCACACACCTGGAAAAATCATTCACTGATTGAAATATAGAACCATACATACATTATAAAAACTATACATTTGCTTTTGAGTCTAAGAGGTATTTTCTTCTCCTTGAGTACTTTCCTAAGGGAAATCAAGTTTAGGACTTAGAGGAAATTAAAACTAACTTTCCATAATAAGCTCTTTATGCTTTAGACCAGGGGTGTCAAACTCATGTCGTCATGGTGGGGTCACGTGACATATTGGGACTTTCCCTCCCCTTTACTAAACTGGGTGTGGGCATGGTCAGCACATGACACAGCCCTGCTTTAGACAAACTTCACAAAAGAACCATTCTTACAGTCCAGTAGTGGGATCCTACCTTAGTCGCTACCAGTTCAATGGGTGGTCATGCGTGCATGCACACCCCTAATGTGCGTGCACCTAACAAGCCAATCAACTGAGAGGATGAAGAAACAAAAAGCTAGGAGCAACCGTCCCACCCTCCCATGTGCTTTTTGGTCTTTTATCCTCTCAGCTGATTGTTGGAGGCTTTTTTCCCCCCTCTCAGCTGATCGGAGGCTTTTTTTTAACTACCTGTTGGGCCTAACTGGTAGTGAGTTTTACTACGGGTTCGTCTGAACCAGGCCGAACTGGTAGCATACCACCACTGTAACAATCTAACAATCTTGAAAGCAAGCTATGATATTCAGCTTTGATGCCAAATGGATCAGTGGTGGGATTCAAATTTTTTACTACTGGTTCTGTGGGCATGGCTTGGTGGGTGTGGCAGGGGAAGGATACTGTAAAATCTCCAGTCAGAGGTGGTGTTTGCCGGTTCTCTGAACTACTCAAAATTTCCATTACCGGTTCTCCAGAATTGGTAGAACCTGCTGAATACCACCTCTGAAATGAATGCTACACCAAACATACCTTTTTATGCTTCTACAATGGGATGAAAAGAAAGCTAATACTGAAGGTTGATGAAGAATATCAGTCATCTTTGTAAATGCAAAAGTTTTCAATTATTATGAAATGTAAATAACTATAATGAAAAATACATATCTGCAGAATGTCATCACTGTTAATTGTTTACGCCCACCATTTCCTTCCCTTCAGGAGTCAGGTCCAATGGTTTCATTCTGACCGATGCTGTTCTGTCAAAATAATGAAATTTTGATATTCCCAACCCACCCAAGGTTATGACTGAGAAAGCTCAAAGACCTCCAAATCAAATCTGCAATATAAATAGCAAAGATGGTATTAATGAATATGCAAAAGAGCAATAGCATAAAGCATAAATATTTCTAATATTGGTTGTAGTCAGATGCAGGGAACTAGAACTACCCTTAGGGTTATTGTAGTGAATTCTACAATTTCTACAATTTCTTTTCTCACCAATAAAGTAAGGAATGGGGAAAATGTATTAGAATCTTCCAGTGGCAATAACACAGAGTGCTTGCCACAAGATTAACATTTTTCCAAAATTGGCCTTTAGCCGTTTTATAGATCTCTTTTTGGAAGCCTATCTTAAAGTATGGTAAAACATTCCCATGCTAAACTGGGTAAAGATGGATTAACACTCTTTTATGTTTGTGTTTTGATGACAGGTTTGATAGTTGGCTCTCCTCACATTTAACCCTCCCCCCAAGCTCTCTCTCCAGTTACCCTGGGAACTATTCAGATGACAGCAAAAGTTGGCGACTGGTTGAGATCTCCCGATTAACCACAAAATACCAACATGATGAGTCTGATGAGAGAATTTGCACTTCTCTTACCCAGTCTAAAAGATGTAGCATTGAGAGAGCTCTATGGAAGACAGAGAGATTCCAGAAATGGCTGAAAGCAAATCGCCTGACCCCTCTCTTGGTCCAGGTTTGTACAAAGTCTTATGTAATGCCCAACTGATATGTAACACACAGTCCTGTATAAAAGCTGCCTGTTGTGATCCACCGGTGGCTGACAGCTGGCAGCAGACAGTAGCAAGTAGGTAGGGAAGAAACCTGGGCCAGTCTTGGAGGCTGAGGAGGGCTTGGACGAGGACTCTGCATTGGAGGTAGGAATGGGGCCAGGGCAGGCTGACAGTCATCAGCTGCCTTCTGACTCAAACAACGGTGAGGTGGGGGAGATTCTGGAACCGGTTCCCAGCCTGCGCATGCGCAGGGCTACCAGAAGACAAGAACAATTGAGAAAGCAGGATCGACTCAGGAGCAAGGCCACATGATTGGCCCCTTGGCATGGGACATAAAAGAGGAGCAAAGGGGACATGAGCTTTTGCAGGAAGCAATTAGTTTGGTCGATTCAAGCTTTGAAAAGTTCTGTTTGACTCTGTGTCAAGTTTGGCCTTGCCCTGCGTTTAGCAATTAGTTCTCTGGCAGCATTCCAAGTGCAACAGGGTGGGTGTTTATAAACATTCCCCTAAAAAACTGTTTGTGAAGCCTTGAAGGGTGTGAATGAACGTAATTCACAGCCATTGAAATAAAAGAGATTTTGCCAGAACTAAGATTGTGTTCTATGCTTTCTTAGGAAGCCTAGGTCAGAACACTGCCTGTGGCTGGGAAATTACTATTGTAATATGGATTTTGGATCATCCTTGCTTCTTACTCCTCCTTCCCTACACATGTGGATACATGCAAACCATATAAGTCACAGGTAGTAAGGTGACAAGCTGCTGAATGGCCCAGTTTCTCTAGCATATGATTACTTTCATATAGAAAGAAACTATGGAGTATAATTGATTGTGGTGTTGTTATTATTATTTTTAATATATGTTTTATTAATACATTTTCTTTTTATATCACATAAAAAATTCCATATCAATCTGAACAATCTGAATTGTCTGGACACAATTAGTTTTAAGTAGAAATACAATATTAATTAACATAAATCATAATAATAAGCATAATAAATTTATCAGTACTAATCGCAAAACAGTAATACAATTATTTTATCCATCTTACAAAATTTTCAATACAAAAGTTTTTATTCTCTTTTAGATCTTATTAAATTCTCATCTCTGGGTCTATTAGTTAACCATTGATAAAAACAAGTCCCATGTCAAGAAATGTTGTTTCTTCCATTTCTTTTCTTTTCCATCTCAGCATATTCTAATATTTGTTTTATAACACTTTCATCTGTGGGGATCTCTTCATTTTTCCATTGTTGTGCGAACACAATTCTTGCTGCCACTAATACATGTAAAGTTAAATATATTTTCCCTTTGTCACAGTGTTCTGGTAATATACCTAACAAGAATATTTCTGATTTCAAATCTATATGCTGCTTTATCATTTTTTTCTATCCAAGTATGTATTTAGTCCAATATTTTTTTGCCTTTGAGCATGTCCACCTGGTATCTGATTACAGTTCCAACATTTAGCTGATAAATTTTCATACATCTTTGCTAATCTTGCTGGTGGCAGATGCCACCTATAAAACATTTTATGTAAGTTCTCCTTTTCGGCCATTGACATTGTTAACTTAAAATTTCTATCCCACAGTTTCTGCAATTTCTCTTATTCTATTGGATAGCCAAAAATTTTAGCCCATCTTATCATTGTTTCTTTCATTTGTTCTTCCAATTTAATACACAATAAATAATTGTACATTTTTATTCGTTTTTCACCTGTTCCCAGTAGTATCTAGTTCTGTTAGTGCTTTATAAAAGCCCTGCATTTTTGAGTCTTTCTCATATCTTCATTGTATTTGCATATATGGCCACCATGCTAAATCAATCCCTTGATTGGTCAGTTCTTGTTTAGATTTGAGTTGCCCTTTATCATTTAAAATATCCTTATACCTTACAATTTTTTCTGCATCAATCACATTATGATGTATCAGTGCCTCCATTGTGGAGAGCCAGACTGGTATTTTCATATAATGTCTTTGTTTAACTTTCCCCCATGCTAACAATAATGCATTTCTAACAAAATGTCTTTGAAAATATCCATGCATTTTAGATTAGATTAACAGAGTTGGAAGGGACCTTGTAGGTCATCTATCTAGTCCAGGGTCGCCAACCTTTTGGACCTCATGGACCACCAAACTCATAATTTTAAATCCCACGGACCACTAATATGAATTTTGACTGATGGTGGCTTGCTGATGTTGGAAATCTCTGCCGTATGGGGTGGCACGCAATGTGCAAAATTGCAGGTGGTGCAACATGCAAAAAGCAGCGCAGCCCTCGACACCCAGGATGAGGTAATGGTGCTATTGTGGCTGGAAGATGCAGGAGTGCTGCGCTACTTGCATTTGCACAGCACCAGATTCTGCCTTCGCTCGAGGAGCCCAGCCAAAGTTTCCTGCGCCGCTCGCGCTTCAGCGCTTTGACTCCCAGGGACAGGAATTCAGCCCAGCTACCTGCAAATTCGTCTCTCTCTTTTGAGGAGTGCTCACAGAGAGAAGCAGATGGAGTTACTCTCATCTCTCAAGAGCCCAGCTGAAGTTTCCCGCTTTGCTTCTGCAAACTCCTGTCCCTGGGAGTCAAAGCACTGAAGCACGAGCAGCGTGGGAAACTTCAGCTGGGGTCCTTGACCAAAGGCGGAATGCTGATGCCGCACAAATGCAAGTACGTGGTGCTCCTGCATCTTCCAGCCATTTCCATCGCTGCTTCGGCCCGCCTGTGCCACCCCCCTCTTGCCACAACAGCACTATTATCTCATCCTGGCCAGTGAGGGCTGCACTTCTTTTTGCACGTTGCACCACTCACAAATTTGCATATTACACATGCCACCCCCTACGGCAGAGATTTCCAACCCCACCATGGGTCGGTCCCATATTCCAGAGCTGCAGTAGTCACAAGACTGGCCCTTTGGTCATCCCAGAGTAGCTCCTCCAGTCCATGGCAGGCTGGTACACGCAGGTGGAGGAGCACCTGCTCCGGGATGACCAAAGGGCCAGTCCTGTGACTACTGCAGCTCTGGAATATGGGATCAACTTTCCCACCAACATCAGCAAGCCACCCTGGAGCAGATTTCCCTCCCCCACCATTGGTCGTATCTTCTAGTTCCAGCTCGTGTGGCTCTACTCAAGGTAAGGTTTGCGCTTGGCTGAAGGGTGAGGGCAGCGGGTGGGCAAGCCATGTGGGTGACAGAGCCTTGTGTTTCCACACAGCCTGGATTAATTGCTTTGGAGGGGTACTTTGTGGGGACATTTCTTTGTGGACCACCAACATTTTCTCCCAGCCCACTGGTTGGCAACCACTAATCTAGTCCAACCCACTTCCCAAGCAGGAGACCCTATACCATTTCTGACAAATGGCAATCCAATCTCTTCTTGAAAGCCTCCAGTGATGAAGCTTCCATAACTTCTGAAGGCAAGCTGTTCCATTGGTTCCCCTTCTATTTCCTCATCTAAGTCATTAATGAAAATATTGAAGATTACTGGGCCTAAGACAGAACCTTTTGGTACCCCACTGCTTAATTTCCTCCATGTAGGTGTAGACCTGTTAAGGATTCCTCGTTGAGTAGTTTGTCAGTCAGTTACAAATCCATCTGGTGGTGATGTTATCTATCCCACTTTTTTCTAGCTTACCAAGAAGTAGGTTGTGGTCTACTTTGTTGAATGCCTTGCTGAAATCTAAGTACTGGTATATTATGTCCACAATATTTAGCTGGTCTACTAATTTAGTCACTATGTTAAACAATGAAATAAGATTGGTTTCCAGTGTTAATATAAATAGTAAAGGGGACAGAGGACATCCTTGCCTCATGCCTTTCCTTATGTTAAAGTTCTCTGTCATGTCCCCATTAACCATCACTTTTGCATTTTGTTTAGAGTATATTGCCTTTATCATGTTAATAAATTTCTCCCAAAAATCCAAATATTTTAATTGTAGCAACATGAATTGCCAATTTACATTATCAAATGCTTTCTGTGCACCTAAAAACATCAATGCCATTTGCTTTTCAGAATGTACTTTATAATCCTCCAACATATTCAAGATAATTCTCATATTATTTTTAATTTGCCTTTTCAGTAAAAATACATTCTGACCTGGGTGTATAAAATCATCCAGGAATCTTTTTAATCTCTCTGCCATTATTGAAGCATATATATCTTATAATCTGCATTTAGTAGCTATATTGGTCTGTAGTTTTTTTATCTGTGTATTATCTGATTCTTCTTTTGGTATTAAAGTTATATTTGCTTCCCTCTATGTATTTGGTATTTTAGCCTCTACAATACTTCATTGTAAACTTCCAACATTGGAATACCTAAAGTGTTTTGTAGGCATTTATAAAATTCTATTGGCAGTCCATCTGGTCTTGGTATTTTATTATTTTTGTCTCTTAATCACCTCTGTTAATTCCATCATTGTTATCTTTTTATTTAACATAACCTTCACTATTTCAGGTACTTTGTGTAGTTCAGTTTTCTCCAAATATTTTATTTTTTCTTTTGACACTTTCTCTTGATTATATAATTTTTCATAGTAGTTCTGAATTATTTCCTTTTTGCTTTCATTTTGGTAATGTAGGGTTTCCTTTTCATCCAACAAATTATGTATTAACCTCTTCTCTTTCTCCCTTTTCAATTTATATGCTAACCATCTTCCTGGTTTATTGGCATTTTCAAAGTAATTTTGTTTTGCTCCTTTAATCTTTTGTGCTAATTCTTCTGTTTCCATTAAGTTGAGTTTGTGTTTTATTAACTCTATTTGCTTTTTTAAATTTCTTTTTTGCAGTTCCTTCTGTAAATCTGTTTCCAATCTTTTATGTTCTTCTGCCAATCTCTTTTGCATTTGTCTTTTTTCTTTTCTTTTTTTGCTGTATAGGTTATAACTAATCCCCAAATGTATGCTTTTGCTGTATCCCATACATTTCGTAATGAAGTCTCTTCTTTTCTATTCTCCTTTAAAAAGAAATCCATTT